CAGTTCCCACGTCTGAGAAATTGGGGGCCATATATATATATATATATATATATATATATATATATATAAAATATATATAATATAGCTGCTTTATATAATTATTTGTCTCTAATCCTTAGAACAATCCTAATTTTATGTAAATTTTATATATATAATATATTGTATACAGATCTTCCTTGACTTCCAAGGGTTAGGGTTAGGCCTCAATAAACCCATCAGAAGGTGAAAATATCCTAAGTCAACAATACATTTAATGCACCTGACCTACCAAACATCACAGCTTAGCCTCACCTACCTTAAACGTGCTCAGAACATTTACATTAGTGTACAGTTGGGCAAAATCATCTACTACAAAATCTGTTTTATACTAAAGTATTGAATGTCTCATGTAATGCATGGAATACTGTACTGACAGTGAAAGGCAGAATGGTTGTCAGGGTCCAGAAAGGTGGTAAGTGTGTTGGTTGTTCACCCTGATCGCCTGGCTGAGCGGAGGCTGCCGCTGCCCAGCATGACGAGAAGGGATGGGTTAGACCACATGTCACTAGCCTGGGAAAGGATCAAAATTCAGAGTGCAAAGTACACTGTCTACTGAAGGCATGTCACTTTCGCACCATCATAGAGTCAAAATATCCTAAGTTGAACCATTGATAAGTTGGGCATTACTGTATTATATAATATATAATTATAATTAATTATATAGCATATTATATATAAATATATTGTATTTTATATGTAATATGTAAATATATATTTTATGTAATATATAAACTATATATTATATATAACATAAATATATAAATTTATAAATTTTATAATATATAAATTATATTTATATATAATATAAATATATTATAAATATATAATATAATTTGATATAACATGAATATATAATAAAATATATTAACATTATATTATAATTTAACATAATATATAAATGTATAATAAAAATATGTATACATATTTAAATATATATTAATCGCTGTGGTGACTGAAGGAGCCAGAGCCATGGTGCTTTGTTCAGGGCTGAACACAGACACTGTTGGATAAGCAGTTTAGGTTGGATGGGACAGAACAGTTCACAGACGGAGTGCTTTGTGCGCACCAAGGGGATAGCGGGTGGGGCAGGATTGGAGAGTCCTATCTGAAACGTCGGAATCCCCTGAGGATTCTCCCACCCGTCCTGGACTCTCCAGGGCCTAGAGGTCCAGCAGAGAATTTGGGGGTAATAGGTGTATGTGTAGGTGTGGGAAAGCTCCCTGGATGGTTTCCGCCACCTCCCCCACCACACTGTGGCGTGGAGCTCCTCAGCCCAGTGCATGGATAAGGGAGGAGGGGTTCTTGGGCCTCAGGCATCAGACTCACTCAGCGCCTATAAATGCAGATGCCTGGGCCTCACTGTGCCTACTGAATCACACTTTAGGGCTGGAGTCCCGGAAGCCATATTTTCACCAAACCCCCGGTGATGATGATGCGAGTCAAGTTCACAGTCGTAGTGACTGGCCAGGGTTGAGAAGGGCTATGCAGTGAGGCAAGTGCTTGACGAGGAGACCCTGGGCAGTGGGTGGGGGGAGGGAGAAGAACAGCCAGATACCAGCAGCCCGGAGTCTCAGAGTCTCCCAGGGGGCAGCAGGCAGCGGGCGGGGACAGGGGCCATGGCCCTGGAGGCTGAAGAATCGCCAGCAGGTGAGACAGGGTCTCAGAAAGGGTGTAGGAGCTCCTGCTGCAGCTAAACCAGGAGACTCCAGCTGCTCTACTCAGCCCTCCTCGGTTAAAGGACTCCCGCGCGTGTTCGCTTAGATGCCTTCTCTCATTTTCTCCAGCAGAAAAACTAGCTTTGGAGCACGTGTCTGTTTCTGTGGGAAGGGGCTGGAAAAGGAGGAGAGAAGGAAGCCCAGCAACCCCAGGCCCACGTGTGACCCCCCCCACCCAGGTGTTTCTCAGTTGTTTTCAGCTAAACCCAGACACCCTCCCTCATTTTCTCCTCATTAAGCCCGAATCACTGTGGGGCCTGCCACGTGGAGAGAGCCAAGGGAGGGAAAATGACATGTTGGAGCGGCAGCTCTGTGCCCAGCAAGGCGCCAAGTCCCTTCCAGGTATCAAAGCCCTTGGTACGCACAAAAAGCCCACACATGCAGGTAGCATTGTTATCCCACTTTACAGACGAGCAACTGAATGCAAGGTGCTTGTACAGTTGAAAACCTCCTTGGCCTTTACCTGGTGCTACTAGGAAGGGCCCTCAGGAAATCCAGACAGAGCTTTCCTGCTTCTCAGAGGTTCATCCCCTTCCTTCTACGAGACTTACTGTGTGGAGAGCTCTTCTAGGCACAGGAATAGAGCAATGACCCAAACAGACAAAAGGCTCTGCCCTCCTGCTTACATATACTGTCTTTCTCTGCTTGACCTTCCCAACTAAACCCAAAGGTGCAGCACTATTAGAACAGTTGTGTCTATGGCCCTGGCACGCTGAACGCACCCCATCCCACCTGATGTCGGAAGCTAAGCAGGGTCGGGCCTGGTTGATATCAATACTTGGATGGGAGGACAGTTATCAGATGGAAAGATAGATGAGCCAGGGGTCTCTTCTCAGCCCAGGGGCCACGGGCATAGTCCTAGGTCTCTGAGATGCACAGAGAGAACAATGACTTGTGGAGTTAGTGCACAATCCATGGTCAGCAGATGGAAAGAATGTTCTAGATGTAGAGTCAGCCGATGTCACCCCATTAAGACTACCCTTTGAAAGATGGCCAAGCCTTAGTAATTGCCTACCCAGGATAGCCCTTTCTATAAAAACATTACTCACAAACCCTGGTAGCAACTCAGGAAGAAGATAAATCCCGTGCATTCTAGGCTGAGGCAGGAGGTAGAGGACCGTCAAATCCAATACGGTCTTGGCAAGAAGTTCACATTGTCACATTGCTCACATTAATCCACTTCCATGTCCACATCCTTCCCCTGATCTCTGCGCAGCCTCATCAAGGTTTTGTTGACAGAAACAAACTCATTTAACTTAAGAGAGGAACGACGCAGCTGTCTGGGACCACCTTGTGAATGGGTCGGGTGGGTGGCAGGCCAGTGGTGTGACTCAGCAGGTCCCCCACCTCCTCAGCCCCTAGCAGAGTTCCCACCCCACCTTGCTCTTGTGGAGTGAGCATCGTCTCCCCTCTCTCTGGCCCACTTTCAACCTGTAATTGCCCCTGGAAGCTCTGGGTATTAAGCCATACTCTTCAGCATGAATGTGTTCATAAAAACACTTCCCTCACTGTGGGGAGAGGATGTCATTAGGTTAATAACAGCAGAGCCAAGGAAGAAGGCCACCAGAATGAGGCCAAGTGGAGCAGGTGACAGGACCCTGGAGCTGGGAGCCAGGAAGACCTGGGTTCAAATCTTGACCATGTGGTTTGAAGCCAGTTGTTGGACATCCTGGATCTCCCATATCCTCACCTGGGAATCTGGGAAGTTATTGTGTGTTATAGTTATTATGAGGATTTAGTTAGATTAGATACAGAAAAGCATCATACAGCAGGTTAGTTTCTTTCCTAGGACTTAGAGAACTTAACCACGCGCAAGACCACCAAAAAATGTGTCCCCTTTACAAAGTAATGCTTGATCCAAAATATGAAGGCATGAGGGTGAGCTTTCCCATTGCACATTGTAATCCCCATGAAAAAGCAAGATGTTTTCAAACGTGGCCACCGTAAAATAAGGGCTTTGCTGTTCTTGTTTTTCTGTGCAGTGATAAATGAAATCCTCTACTGGAGTTTTTGTCTGAAATGTGAAGTTCAAGCAATTTTATTTCTGGGTTAGGAAAAACCTATGAACTGAGTATGAACTGTTAATGAGCTACCTGCCCCACTGAGTGGTGGGAAACTTCAGACTTAGAGATGAGATGGGCCCAGTCAAAAAGAAAAGCGGAAGAACAGTCTAAGACGTGACACCTTCTATTCCCAGCCCAGAGTTAGCACCAGGATGGAAAAGGGGGGAAATATGGAAAAGATGGCAAGTCAGAGCTTTATCCAGTTTAAGTTTTTAACTGAAGAATTATAAATTCTCAGATCATAGACACCTAACAAAAATAACTTGGAGGTCTATTATGTGTCAAGCACAATACTAAGCAAGGGAGAGCCTGATGGAGGGAAAAGGTGTAAATACAGTGTATTAAGATTTCTGAGTCAGAAGTTTCCATGCAAAATAAAGTGTGCAGACAGAAGAAGCCTTGAGCAACTCAGTCTCTGTTCTCTTGGTTTTGACCTCCTAGAAGGTCATGTTCAGACAGACCTCGTTTTATTGCACTTGACGTTATTGCCCTTCACAGATACTGCAGTTTTTACAAATTCAAGGTTTTTGGCAACACTGCCTGGAGCAAATCTATCAACACCACTTTTTCAACAGCATTTGCTCACTTCGTGACTCTGTGTCACATTTCAGTAATTCTCACAATGTTTCAAACTTTTTCATTTTTATTATGTTTGTCATGGTGACCCCGTGACTAGTGATCTTGGATGTTAACATTGCAAAAAGATGACAAGTCGCTGAAGGCTCAAATGACGGTTAGCATTTTTTAGCAATAAAGTATTTTTTAATGAAGGTACGCACATAGCTTTGTTAGACATGATGCTGTTTCACACTTAATAGACTACAGTACAGTGTAAACATAATTTCCATATGCAGTGGGAAACCACAAAATGTGTGCTATTTGCTTTATTGTAATATTTGCTTTGTTGCAGTGGTCTGGAACCAAACCAGCAGTAACTCTGAGGTATGCCTGCACACCAGTAATTCACTAGTCAATGTTTTACTTACTTTTAAACATCCACTGGTCCATTGTTTACCAATTATTAGTAGCTACTTATTACCATGTTTATGACAGAGAGCACTAAAGAAGTGGGACTCTTCCCACAGCAATAATGAGTAAGAAGTTTGTTGGCAAAGGAGGGTTGACTGATTCTCCTAAGGAATATCTGAAAGCAGTTATTCATCACTCACCTTTTCAGGTCAGCTTCAGATGGATGAAACTTTGTCCTTTCATTAAACATTTAGAAATGAGCTTTTCATGACATCCAGGATGCCAGAAAGAATAAACATCAGTTAATTTTTGTTTTGTTTCCATTTGATCAGCCATGAGTTGTTTCCAAACTTCAGCGAGCCATTCCTGGATTTATCCCACTGTGATCCTTTGCCTGTTTGGATTCTTCTCCACGATGAGACCCTCAGAACCCTTCCTTATGCTGTATTTATCTGGGCCAGATAAAAACCTGACCAGTGAAGAGGTGAGTTAATATACATACATATCTTGATGTGGTTTAATCTTACAGGACTCAAACAAGGACCTAGAGTGAGGTTTTCATTCAACTGGAAATAAGATTAACACACTGACCTCAATGAATCCCATCTTCATAGTATGTGTTATTTTATAGAACTGTTCAAACTACTCTTTCCTCCTCACACTTGCAAAAATGGGAAACCAAAACACACTGCATGTGTAATAAATATTTTCACTTTTGTAGACTTCTAACATTAGGCTTAATGCATGGGAACATGTCAAGTCTTCATTGATTCTATTATACTAATCCTAATTCTATTATACTAATCCTAAAATAAAATCAATGATGCCAGGCACAGGATCTAGTCCTAATAAACTTTTAGCCTGCTGGGGTATAAGCAGAATCTGTTTAAAAATTGTAGCATTTCTTTAGGACACTAACTCCATTTTGAAAAACTATTTATCAGCAGGTGAGACATTAACAGCTTTATCTTCCCCAGAAGTCCCAATTCTCTTACTCAAAGGATCCACCTCTTTTTTTTTTTTTTTTTTTTTTTTTTTATGACAAGTGCAACAAGAAAGTGCACTGACCTAGTCAGAGAATTACCCTGGGCTGGTTTTATAGTCTTCAGCCATAGCTAAGAAAACACTGTAGAGTGTGTGGCTTCACCTGAAAGGCTCACTGATGCTGCTTTATTTGGTGATAAGGTAATATGGACGGAAGGGCAAGCTCATTCTATTGTATTGTAAAATCACTTAGGGGCAACTCTGTTTCGAAGTTTCCCAGATGGAAGCATGTCACTATTAAGACAAAGCAAACAACAGATAGACATCCAGAATCAACCAGTGAGCCTCAGGGGTCTGCTTCCTTGACCACTATGGACCAGCTGGACCTCAAAGGCGCAGCCCGGTTACATTAGCCTTTCAAATCACTGAACATTCCCCTGTCATTGAAACAGGAACCACTGAGGTTGCTGGAGAAAGCAGGGGGCACAGAACAAAGTCTAATGCAGCTGACCTGCACCTGTACCCATCACGCCCCAAAGATCAACTTCTTCAGTCCTTTCTGTGAATGAACCTTGAGGTGTCGTGCATTTCTGACTAAATCCATGAGATGACTCATATTAAAGTAAGGCCAGAATTGAGCGAGCAGAGACAAATCAGTAGAACTGGAGGCAAACGGGGTTGGGAGCCCAGCAAATCTGGCCAGGAAGGAGATGAAATGCATTGCTTGTTCCCACACCATAATTCTGCAAGATGATTTACCCTGTTCTGTCTTCATCTGGGTGTTCATCCAGACTTGCAAGGCTGAGATTTTTGCCATAATGATGAATCACATAAAGGTAAAGGTTGCTGGATTATTCTAACACTGTAGCTGCTTTATCTAGTGTTGTTATCTCTGAACAAGAAGAGAATAGTATTTTTTAATAGCCTGAAAAACCCACAAGTGTCTGTTGAACAATTTTTAACTAGTTTACAGGCACACCTCAGAGATATTGCAGGTTTGGTTCCAGACCACTGCAATAAAGTGAACATTGCAATAAAGCAATCACACAAATTTTTTTTTAATTTCCCAGTGCATAAAACAGTTATGGGGCTTCCCTGGTGGCACAGTGGTTGAGAGTCCGCCTGCCGATGCAGGGGACACGGGTTCGTGCCCCGGTCGGGGAAGATCCCACATGCCGCGGAGCGGCTGGGCCTGTGAGCATTGGCCGCTGAGCCTGTGCGTCCAGAGCCTGTGCTCCGCAACGGGAGAGGCCACAGCGGTGAGAGGCCCATGTACCGCAAAAAAAAAAAAAAACAGTTATGTTTTCACTATACTATAGTCTATTAAGTGTGCAATAGCATTATGTCTAAAAAAAGTATATACCTTAATTGAAAAATATTTTATTGCTAAAAAAACGCCAAAGCAATTACAATAGTAACATCAAAGATTATTGATCATAGATCACCATAACAAATATAATAATAATGAAAAAGCTTGAAATATTGTAAGAATTACCAAAATGTGACAAAGACATGAAGTGAGCAAATGCTATTGGAAAAATGGTGTCAATAGACTTGCTCAATGCAGGTTTCCACAGACCTTTAATCTGTGAAAAACAAAACAAAACAAAACACGATATCTGCAAAGCACAATAAAGCAAAACACAATAAAATGAGGTATGCCTGGGCTCTAGTGTACATACTATTATAAATTTAATATAGCTCAGATTGCACATTAAGCCAATATATTCTTCTACCGAGATGCATGTAAGTATATGAAGTGGGTTTTTTGGTGGGGTGGGGGGGAGCTCTCCTTTCCTACTGGGTTCCTTGAAAATCAGTTTTCTATTGTGCTTTCTCATAATACGAAGAATACCCTATTTGATTGGATGCAGACTTTTGTATCGGGCAAGCGACATGTACCTTAGTAATGCACGAATCTGAGACAGGTAACCCTCCTCACTTCCTGGTGCTTCATGGTCACAGGATCCATTTTTCAACTCTGCAGATCACAAATGAGATCTTCCCCGTGTGGACATACTCATATCTGGTGCTGCTGTTCCCAGTGTTTATCCTCACCGATTACGTCCGCTACAAGCCAGTCATCAACCTACAAGGGATCAGCTTCATCATTACCTGGCTGCTGCTCTTGTTTGGCCAAGGAGTGAAGACCATGCAGGTCGTAGAGTTCTTCTATGGGATGGTCACTGCCACCGAGGTGGCCTACTATGCCTACATTTACAGCGTGGTCAGCCCAGAGCATTATCAGAAAGTGAGTGGCTACTGCAGGAGTGCCACACTGGTGGCCTACACAGCGGCCTCAGTGCTGGCCCAACTCTTGGTATCCCTGGCCAACCTATCGTACTTTTACCTCAACGTCATATCCTTGGCCTCTGTCTCCATGGCCTTCCTTTTCTCACTTTTCCTACCAATGCCTAAGAAGAGCATGTTTTTTCATGCAAAACCCAGCAAAGAAGGTCCTCCAAAGCCACCAGGAAAGGATGCTGTCTTAGAGGAACCTCAAAAGGATCATGAACCAGGTGGACAAGAAGTAGTCACTGTTTCAGGGAACCCATATGATGGCCATTGGAGCAGCCCAAAGCCAGAAAGTGTAGTTTTGAGAGTTTTTGTGCAGTGGTTACAAGATTTGAAGGAGTGTTATTCCTCAAAACATCTTTTTTACTGGTCCCTATGGTGGTCTTTTTCCACAGCAGGTTTTAACCAGGTTTTGAACTATGTTCAAGTCCTGTGGGATTACAAGGCACCAAGCCAGAGTTCCATAATATATAATGGAGCAGTAGAAGCTATTGCAACCTTTGGAGGTAAGTAAACTTTGATCTTCCTTTGATGGGCTACCCCCCACTAAGTTCATTTCTCCAGTTGCTAAATTCTCCATGGTGGTAAATTAGGTCTGTTCAGAAGGCATATTAATCTTTTCCAGGAATAGAAGGCAGTGGGGCAAAAAGAGAGACAGGACATTTCTATTTAATGTGTTGCAGTTACTGGTAACTCAAGAGCTCGGAAGTCAGCACCAAGTGATCACATTCTAGTCAGATTCCCAAGATTCCATTTCATCATCAAGAAAAGTGTTAATAATGCCCCCTGTTCTTTCAGGATTGTTTTTAATATCAAAAAGAAAATAGGCATCTTGTGTATAAAAAAGGTGTTTTTATTATTTTAGAAAATGAACTGAACTTTTAAGACTTCCAAATTATCACTGGAAGGGTTTTTGTTAATAAAGAATTTGATTTAGCTAGTGCCCATCTTTAAGAAATTCCAGGCTCTACACCACAAATTTTCAAAATTAGCTTTCTTATGAGATTTAAATCAGAAGTGGAAGATGTTATGTGAGTCAGGATTCTAATATCAGAGGAAAATCTGCCTTTGAAGTTCCCTCTACAATAAATATTTATATCCTGGTTAATGGAAACTGAAATTCAACTAAGACTTTGAAGGTATTTTTCTAGGAAGTAGGAGATTTCCACACCCTGTTTTACATAAATTTTCAGAAAGCTCATGTGGTGTCTGTTTTATTATTGTCTCCCTTTTAGGAGATTTCAGTTTAACTCCTGGAAACCAAGACTGTACTAGAGTTAGTTCACTGAAATTATCTCTCCTACATTCCAATTTCTGGGAAGAAAAGTAACTTTATGTCTTTTGTAGTGTGGTTCTTGCCTAGATCACATGTGGAAAAGTTAATCAAATCTCAATAATTTGAAACATAAATATCTCTCACTTTGTTAAAGAGAACTATAATTACTAACTCTAATTACTGTCAATTATTCAATCTTTTAAACTCTGTAAATTGTTCACCCAAAACCTCAAGTAAACTAAGCCAGATCTTGAAGACATTAAGATGGAGATTAGAAGTAAAATTAAGAAAGATTAGTAATAAAGACTAAAACTTACTACCTGAGGCAACGTATCTGTTACCTATCACTGAGAAAAACAATAAAGAAAGGCAAATATGATCAGGCTAGGTGTACTGCCAGAGCAGTTGTTTCACCTTTATCTATCCCTGCCCTGAGCATGTTGTATTAAGTGACTGAGTTTATGTATCATTTCTCCCCACTCTGTGGGTGGTTAGGAACCTTTCTAGTCCCTCTGCATAGAACAGTGCTTGGCATGTAGTTGATGCTAATTAAAAGTGTGACAACTAAATGACTGAAAGAATAGAAATTAAAGAGAGTAGCCAAAGGAAAACATGCTTGAGACATGGATAAATCCCCATTTAGGTGGATCACACTATTTTCACGAATTGGGAAAGCAATATGTTTATCTTTCAGAATTACCTGAGACCTGAGTTCTTAAGAGAACATGTTGATGTTTCCCATGGGCAAAGTCAATATGTTGGATCTTCCTTAATGTTTCTTCTTTAGGGGCCCTGGCTGCCTTTGCAGTGGGTTATGTGAAAGTCAACTGGGATCTTCTGGGAGAGTTGGCTCTGGCCATCTTCTCAGTTGTCAATGCAGGCTCTCTATTTCTCATGCATTACACGACCAGCATATGGGCATGCTATGCAGGCTTTTTGTTATTCAAGACCGGCTATATGCTTCTTATCACCATAGCAGTGTAAGTATTACTAAGCATTTCTTCCGAGTCCTAAAACTAAACCATATTCTCTTTTCTGTATTCCTATAATTCTTTTGAGAACTTTGGAAGGATTTTAATCAATTGCAATATTAAATGTTGACTACTTCATATTAAATTAGGCACAACTGAGCCATCTTTTCATTTAATTGCTCACCGAATATTGCTAATATTAATCAGCAAGGGAAACAAGTTCTGTAAGTTCATAAACCAAAGGCAATGATACATGGTCAGGTTGTGATTTTTATTTCAAACAGTTTGCCAATTTGCACGGTGTAATGCAATTTGGTTTTGAATGATTAAGTTTAGATTACACCTCTGATTTCACTTGGTTGCTTGAGTAATTCCAGGCATATACTTTTGTAAGAAACAAAATATTTTCAGCAAGGTGGATACTGAAAAAAGTAGATGCAAAGATTACAAGAAACTATGAATCCCAGAGATCATTTTTTTAATGATTAAAAACATTTGGTTCTATATATAAGTGCAGAGAAAGCTGACTATAGGATATATGCTTTGGTATTAACCAAAAGAGATAAGAAACATTTGAATTTCAAATCACATGAAAGTAGAGCCAAAAGCTTTATAAAGTTTTGAGTTTTAGTCTGTGAAAAATGCTTGATAAGTAATTGACAAAACACGGAAATGTGGACCCTGAGAAAAGATCATGAAACAAAGGAAAGAGATGAAACTTGAGGCAAGTTCATTTTTTTCACCAAAGGGTATCTGTTTAATGTATCAAACTCATGTGTCTTGAGTTTTTTTTAAGGCGAGTATTTTGTTAAGGTAAGATGACATTGTTTCTTTTCATTTTAAGAATATTCAGAATCCAAAGCCTTTTACCTGTATTCCAAGGAAGAACTATAAATAACATATATCTGCCAGTCTTTCAAAAGTGCTTTGTAATAAGATTTCAATATCTATATAATTATAAAAAATAGGTTTCTTATGAGATTTAAACCAGAAGTGGAAGATGATTCCAATTCCAATTCCAATTCTGGCCTCAGTTTAATATGGGTCATCTCAAAGGAAGAACATTTAGGTTTAATTTCTGGAACCATTAAATTGGATAGGAGGAATTTTGCCATATTTGCTTTAAGTATATTTTAATTCAGACTTTAAGTATATATTTTTTCCTTGTTCTGCCCGTTTGTCTACACTGGAGGAGATTTAGACAAAAAGTGCTGTTAACAAGACACTGCTTTCTCTTCATTTTCTTTTAAAGATAAGAATCCCATGTACGTTCTCGTTAAAAATCTTATTCTATGTTGAATGACAGGTTTCAGATCGCAGTTAATCTGAGTGTGGAACGCTACGCCCTGGTGTTTGGAATCAACACCTTCATCGCCCTGGTGATTCAGACCGTTATAACCGTGATCGTAGTAGATCAGGGAGGATTGAGGCTGCCAGTCCACATTCAGGTAAGCTGCAGTACTTCCATTTTCCTATTCACGCAGTTGGGGGGGGATGTAGAATAACCTGGTCATCTCAGAGGGCTTTTTCAACCTTACCACTGGCAGTATTGAATTTCTTGGCTAGGCAAATTTTAAAATAAACCATGCCTTAGGACTTCCCTGGCAGTCCAGTGGTTAAGACTTCACCTTCCAATGCAGGGGGTGCAGGTTTGATCCCCGGTCAGGGAGATAAGAACACACATGCCTCACGGCCAAAAACCCAAAAGATAAAACAGAAGCAATATTGTAACAAATTCAAAAAAGACTTTAAAAATGGTCCACATCAAAAAAAAAAAAACTTAAATAAAATAAAGTAAAATTAGCCATGCCTTTAACTATCAACTGTAAAACCAAGTAGGTTTTGAGCAGTAATCACTATAGGTTAGCATTTGCCTTTGGTCCCTAAAACCCTATCAGGTAACACTCTTGCCTTCATGTCCCCCTTATGTCTCCTCCTTCCCCCGTGGTCCAGTACCACAATATACTAAGATGCAACTGGGAAGGGGTACGTGGCTGCAGAGTTCACCTCCCTTTTAAGTCTCTCAGAATACTGAGAGACTTAAAATTAGTCCAATTTCACATTTTACATGTGGATCTGAAAAAAAGGGGATAAGGCAAGTAAAAAGTAACCTCAGTGTCGAAAACTCATTCCTGGAGACATTACATATAGCATTGCACTATCCTCCAAACATAGACACGTAAATCAGTGGGATTTAGCGTTTCTTTCACTATTGGTGGCATGTGCTAGAATTTGAATCCAAGCAACCCTGACCCCAGAGCCCACACTCTTAGTTACTGCATTGCTTACCCTTTCATGCCTTGTTCTTCTAAGAGGGGAAAAGAGAGTATTGTGCACATCTAAAACATCCATATTAAGATCCTGATTCTCGGTTACCCCATCATCCAAGTAAATCAACAGCATCACTATGTATTATCAATAACATAGATAGTCATATTTCATGTGTGTCTAACTCTGTTTTTCTCTAGTTTTTAGTTTATGGGAGTTACTTTGCAGTCATTGCTGGCATTTTCCTAATGCGAAGCATATTCATTATCTACTCAAACAAATGCCGAAAGACAGTGCAGAGCTCTGCTACAAGTCAGAATCCATATGGGCCACACCCAGAAGAACCAAAGAACAACTAATGAACAAGGCTCTAACCTCTGTCAACCACTACAGCCTCTGAGCAAGACTCTGCTGGTCACAAAGTCACGGAGTGCCATAAATTGACACACTTCACAAGTCTGGATTCCAGTGAACCTTTTCAAAGCCAGGAAAGTTCAGCTTTGGACCAGATATCTATGTACCCAGCTGAACTGGTTGCAGCTGTTCAGGTATACCATCTCAATTAAACAGCCTATGTTGGGGAACCCCAGTGAATAACAATGACTGGAAAATTCTGGTTTTGATTGCTTGCAAGGATGTGCAAGTGGCATGGAAACAAACCATGAGAAAACTCCAACCATCCTAGAGTTTGATATTCCTCATTTGTGAGCAGAAATACTAACTGAAGTGACCCTCTTGCTTGGCTTAGATATTTGTTTTATTTTACCCAAAACAGGCAACACAATGGATATTTTTTGTCACATGAGCCATTGTCCTTCTTCTTCCATTAAGTATATTTCTTTAAAACTTACAGTTCCTTGAGAGAATTATAGGGCTTGGTCCCATTTCTAAGGAATCCTTTTCTCTCCTGATAACACAGTATTATTCACAAGCTATTATTTGATAATATCACCACTTAATTTTTTAATCATTACTCCTCACTTTGTGCTCTTCTGAGCTTTGTTGTTGAAACTCTACCTCAGGAATAACTCCAGACACTCCTGTGTGGCCACAGAATGACATTCATGCCAATTCCCAGTGGCCCCAGGAGAGACAATGAGCTTTCTTCTATCATGACCCCAGACAAATGTTTTAATGTCGTGTCAGTGTGATGTCTGCCTAAAACAGAAAAACTTAAGTAGAAATTTTCAGGGATTTCTAGAAGTATTCATAAATAAGGAAACACTGATGGGGGGGAAAACACCTAATTTTTAGATGACACAGATTGTGCTAAATAAAATTAATTGGTGCAAAAATATTAAAGAGCCTTTCTGATTTTTTGGTGAATTGTGCTGAAAATTGGCTGAGTTTATCTGTCATTTGAAACTTCAACAAAAATTTCATTGAACATTCTGCCACTGGGAATAATGAATGCTGATTCAAGATTTGTGTTTCAAATAGACTTTTCTGCAAATCTCAAAATTCAATCTCTGGACAAAAAATTAAAATTCAGTCCAAAAGCCAATACAGTGGAGAAAACTAATAACTAATTACATCAAATGCAAGAAAAGAATGACTACTGTTATCCTTCTTGGTTATTGTCCTGAAGATATTAGCCAACACAGTTAGACAAGAAAAAAAAATGAACAATCAAAAGTTGGAAAGGAAGAGGCAAAACCATAACAATTCCAGAGGCTACAAGTATGCACCCAAGGGTCTCAGCTAAAAACTGAGTAATATAGAAAGTAAGTAAATAGAAATCAAAAGTTTTCATGATACAACAACCATTTAGAAGATATATGGGAGTAAAAGACCACATTTATAATAGAATAAAAATAAAATACCTAAGATTACATTTAATCTATTAACTCATTTAATAAATGTGTAAGACATATATAAATGTGCCTGAAAACACTTTTGGAGATTATGAAATAACACCTAAACATATGGAAAAGCCTACCTTGTTCTTGGTTAGGAAGAAAAAAATATATAAAGACATCAGGCTTCTTAAATAAATTTATAAGTTAAATCCTATCCCAGAGAAAAAATATATTTTTTTAACTAGTAAAGGTGATTCTAACTTTATTTGGAAATTAACAAAGAAGAATGAGGAAAATGTTTTTTAAGTGGAAAAATGAGATTAAATTATTTGCAAGGAATAAAATCCTACTCTAAATGCTTAATTACAGTAACATAATCAGCATGAAGAGACAGTCCAATGCAACAGAGTAGGAAGTTCTGAAATAGTCCCTAATTCATATGGGATTTTAGACTATGATAAAGATAGCATTTCATACAAGAAGGAAAAGATGGAATATTTAATAAGATTGGAACAATTTTTTTCAAAGGAAAAATTAAGTTGGACCCAAGAGTGCTAGAATAACCATCAGTGTGTGATGTGTATCAATATGCAGATGTGAAAAATGAAACTACAAAAGTACCAGGAGGAAACATGCAAAAATTATAACTTCAAACCTGTCTAAAGTAACAGAAAACCTAGAAGTCATAAAAAAGTGAATTGACAGCATAAAACTAAACTTACGCATGGAAGAAAAAGTAATATAAGCAAAGCCAAAAGACAAGTGATAATCTGGAAGAAATACTGCAACTCATCAAAGCTACTTTCCCTAATTTATATAGAACAAATACAAATTGATAAGAAAAAAGGTCAAAACCCTGATGAAAATGGGGAGACGTGGAATTAGCATCTCCCCACAGCTAGGGTGCCTGCCAGCTGCTGGTGGGGGACTCTGACATCCAAAGAGACAGGAGGAATCCCAGACTGAACTGGTAGGACATAGCGGGACTGAGGGGGGAGGAGAAGTGGAGGCCAGACAGGATCGGTGCCCCTGAGGTGGGGGGAGATCAGCAGAGGCAGGTGGCAGGGACTCTCCAGGAAGAGTGGGAGAGGAGCAGAGGGTGATCACCTGGCCCACTCGGGCTGGGGAGCCTGCTGAGCTCCCAAGCCGGTTCCCCCCCACTCCAAAGCCCCATTCAGGCCACCTGGGTCCTGGGGGCATAGGAGGGAGGCCAAGGGGAGAACAGGAGAGGCAGGTGGGAAGGGCCCTCCGGGACGAGAGGGAGAGGAGCAGAGGACAATTGCCCCACCCACTCAGGCCTGGGGAGTCTGCTGAGCTCCCAGGCCAGTCCCCTGCAATCCAAAGCCCCTTCCAGGTCACGTGGGTCCTGGGGTCATAGGAGGGAGGCTGGGGAGATCAGGAGAGGCAGGCAGGAGGGACCCTTCAAGACCCCAAATTGGAGGAGCAGAAGAGGAGAGGAGGGTGTTTGCCCTGCCCTCTCAAGCCCAGGAAGGCTGCTGGGCTCCCAGGTGAGGTCCCCTGGGGGGGCACACCTGGATCCCTTCTGTTCTTTGAGCCTAAGCCCCAACCCCCACAGCCCCCAGGGCCTTTTCCAGCCCTGTGGGTCCTGAGCATTGGCCCCGCCCACCACCCAAACCTCACCCTTGCTTAATCCCTGCCCTCCACAGCCAAGGCCTTCCCCCCACCATTTTTCTTTTCTCTTCCCTCCTTCTCTTTTTGACTATTGTGGTACTGATGTACCTTCCGGTTGTTGATTCATATATATTTTTATTTTTACGTTCTTTCTAACATATCTGTTAGTTTCATAGTCTAATTTTATTTTTTATTTTGTTATTCTTTCTTTTTTTTTTTTTTTTGCCACCCCACATGGCTTGCGAGATCTTGGTTCACAAGCCCGGAGTCAGGCAGAAGCTCCTGCAGTGGGAGCTCAAGTCCAAACCACTGGACTAATAGAGAACCTCAGACCCCAGGGAATATTCATCAGAGTGAGGTCTCACAGAGGTCCTCATCTCAGCACCAAGACCCAGCTCTACCCAATAGCCTACAAACTCCAGTGTTGGAAGCCTCAGGCCAAACAACCAGTAAAACAGGAACATAATCCTACTCGTAAAAAAAAAAAAAAAAAAAAAGAGACAGCAAAAAAATATGTAACAGGTGAAGGAGCAAGGCAAAAACCTACAAGACCAAATAGATGAAGAGGAAATAGGCAATCTACCTGAAAAAGAATTCAGAATAATGATAGTAAAGATGATCCAGAATCTCAGAAATAGAATGGAAGCACAGATTGAGAAAATACAAGAAATGTTTAACAAATATCTAGAAGAACTAAAGAACAAACAGAGATGAACAACACAATAACTGAAATGAAAAATACACTAGAAGGAATCAGTAACAGAATAACTGAGGCAGAAGAACGAATAAGTGAGCTGGAAGACAAAATGGTGTAAATAGCTGCCCAGGAACAGAATAAAGAAAGAAGAATGAAAAGAATTGAAGACAATCTCAGAAACCTCTGGGACAACACTAAACACATGAACATTCAAATTATAGGGGTCCCAGAAGAAGAAGAGAAAAAGAAAGGGTCTGAGAAAATACCTGAAGAGATTATAGTTGAAAACTTCCCTAACATGGGAACAGAAATAGTCACCCAAGTCCAGGAAGCAGAGAGAGTCCCATACAGGATAAACCCTAAGAAAAACACACCAAGACACATATTAATCAAACTAACAAAAATTAAATTCAAAGAAAACATATTAAAAGCAGCAAGGGAAAAACAAAAAATAACATGCAAAGGAATCCCCATAAGGTTATCAGCTGATTTTTCAGTGGAAACTCTGAAAAATCCAAGGAGGGACACTACATAATGATCAAAGGATAAATCCAAGAAGAAGATATAACAATTATAAATATTTATGCACCCAACATAGGAGCACCTCAATACATAAGGCAAATGCTAACAACCATGAAAGGAGAAATCAACAGTAACACAATAATAGAAGGGGACTTTAACACCCCACATACACCAATGGACAGATCATACAAACAGAAGATAAATAAGGAAACAATCTTTAAATGACACAATAGACGAGATAGATCTAATTGATATTTATAGAACATTCTACCCCAAAGTGGCAGAATACACTTTCTTCTCAAGTGCACATGGAACATTCTTCAGGATAGATCACATCTTGGGTCACAAATCAAGCCTCAGAAATTTAAGAAAATTGAAATTGTATCAAACATCTTTTCTGACCACAACACTATGAGATTGGAAATCAATTACAGGAAAAAAAATTGTAAAAAACACAAAGACATGGAGGCTAAACAGTGCACTACTAAATAACCAAGAGATCACTGAGGAAATTGAAGAAGAAACTGAAAAATACATAGAAACAAATGACAATGAAAACATGACGAACCAAAGCCTATGGGATGCAGCAAAAGCCGTTCTAAGAGGGAAGTTTATAGCAAGTCAATCTCACCTCAAGAAACAAGAAAAATCTCAAATAAACACTCTAACCCTGCACTTAAAACCACTAGAGAAAGAAGAACAAAGAAAACCCGAAGTCAGTTGAAGGAAAGAAATCATAAAGATCAGATCAGAAATAAATGAAATAGAAATGAAGAAAACACTAACAAAGATCAATAAAACTAAAAGCTGGTTCTTGGAGAAGATAAACAAAATTGATAAACCCTTAGCCAGACTCATCAAGAAAAAAAGGGAGAGGACAAAAATCAATAAAATTAGAGGGGCTTCGCTGGTGGCACAGTGGTTGAGAGTCCACCTGCCAATGCAGGGGACACAGGTTCGTGCCCCGGTCCAGGAGGATCCCACCTGCTGCGGAGCGGCTGGGCCTGTGAGCCATGGCCACTGAGCCTGTGCGTCCGGAGCCTGTGCTCTGCAACAGGATAGACCACAGCAGTGAGAGGCCTGCGTACCACAAAAAAATAATAAAATAAAATTAGAAATGAAAAAGGAGAAATCACAGCTGACACTGCAGAAATACAAAGGATTATAAGAGACTACTGCAAACTATATGCCAGGAAAATGGACAAGCACAAAGAAATGGACAAATTCTTGGAAAGGAACAATTTTCCAAGACTGAACCAGGAAGAATTAGAAAATATAAACAAATCTATCACAAGTAATGAAATTGAAACCATAATTAAAATTCTTCCAACAAACAAAAGTCCATGACCAGATGGCTTCACAGGCAAATTCTATCAAACATTTAGAGAAGAGCTAACACCGATCCTTATCAAACTCTTCCAAAAAATTGCAGAGAGAGAAACATGTCCAAATTCATTCTATGAAGCCCCCATTATCCTGATACCAAAACCAGAAAAAGGTATCACAAAAAAAAGAAAATTATAGACCAATATCACTGATGAAAATAGTTGCGAAAATCCTGAACAAAATACTAGCAAACAGAATCCAACAGCACTTTGAAAGGATCATACACTATGATCAAGTGGGATTTATCCCAGGGATGCAAGGATTCTTCAGTATATGCAAATCAATCAAAGTGATACAGCACATTAACAAATTAAGGAATAAAAACCATATGATCATGTCAGTAGATGCAGAAAAAGCTCTTGACAAAATACAACACCTATTTATGATAAAAACTCTCCAGAAAATGGGCATAGAGGGAACCTACCTCAACATAATAAAGGCCATATATGACAAACCTACAGCAAGCATCATACTCAATGGTGAAAAACTGAAAGCATTTCCACTAAGATCAGGAACAAGACAAAGGTGTCCACTCTCGCCACTCTTATTCAACATAGTTTTGGAAGTCCTAGCCCACAGCAATCAGAGAAGAAAAAGAAATAAAGGAATACAAATTGGAAGAGAAGTAAAACTGTCACTGTTTGGTGATGACATGATACTATACATAGAAAATCCTAAAGATACCACCAGAAAGCTACTAGAACTAATCAATGAATTTGGTAACGTTGCAGAATACAAAATTAATGCACAGAAACCTCTGGCATTCCTATACACCAACAACAAAAAAATCAGAAAGAGAAATTAAGGAAACACTCCCATTTACCACTGCAACAAAAAGAATAAGATACCTAGGAATAAACCTGCCTAAGGATGTGAAAGACTTGTACTCAGAAAACTATAAAACACTGATGAAAGAAATCAAAGATGACATAAACAGATGGAGAAATATACCATGCTCCTGGATTGGAAGAATCAACATTGTGAAAATGACTATAGTATCCAAAGCAATCTACAGATTCAATGCAATCTCTATCAAACTACCAATGGCATTCTTCACAGAATTAGAACAAAAAATTTTACAATTCTTTTGGAAGCACAAAAGATCCCAAATAGCCAAAGCAATCTTGAGAAAGAAAAACGGAGTTGGAGGAATCACGCTCCCTGACTTTGAACTATAACACAAAGTTACCAAAATCAAGACAGTATGGTACTGGCACAGAAACAGAAATATAAACCAATGGTACAGGATAGAAAGCCCAGAGATAAACCCACGCACATATTGGCACCTAATTTATAACAAAGGAGGCAAGAACATACAATGGAGAAAAGACAGCTTCTTCAATAAGTGGTGCTGGGAAAACTGGACAGCTACTTGTAAAAGTATACACAAAAATACACAAAAACACACCATACACAAAAATAAACTCCAAGTGGATTAAGACTTAAATGTAAGACCAGACACTACAAAACTTTTAGAGGAAAAAATAGGAAAAACACTATTTGACATAAACCACAGCAAGATCTTTTTTGACCCACCTTCTAGAGTAACAGAAATAAAAACAAAAATAAACAAATGGGACTTAATTAAACTTAAAAGCTTTTGCACAGCAAAGGAAACCATAAACAAAACAAAAATACAACCCTCAGAATGGGAGAAAATATTTGCAAATGAAAAAACAGACAAAGGATCAATCCCCAAAATATACAAACAGCTCGTGGAGCTCAATATCAAAAAACCAAACAATCCAGTTAATAAATGGGCAGAAGACCTAAATAGACATTTCACCAAGGAAGACATAGAGATGACCAAGAGGATCATGAAAAGATGTTCAGCATCACTAATTATTAGAGAAATGCAAATCAAAACTACAATGAGGTATCATCTCATGCCGGTCAGAATGGCCATTCTCAAAAAAGCTAGAAACAATAAAAGCTGGAAAGGGTGTGGTGAAAAGGGAACCCTCCTGCACTGTTGGTGGGAATGTAAATTGACACAGCCACTATGGAGAACAGTATGGAGGTTCCTTAAAAAACTAAAAATAGAACTGTCATATGACACAGCAATCCCACTACTGGGCATATACCCTGAGAAAACCATAATTCATAAAGAGACATGCATCACAATGTTCATTGCAGCACTATTTACAATAGCCAGGACATGGAAGCAACCTAAATGTCCATTGACAGATGAATGGATAAAGAAGATGTGATACATATATACAATGAAATATTACTCAGCCATAAAAAGAAAGAAAACTGAGTTATTTGTAGTGAGGTGGATGGACCTAAAGTCTGTCATACAGAGTGAAGTCAGAAAGAGAAAAACAAATACCTTATGCTAATGCATATATATGGAATTTATTTTTTTTTTTTTTTTTTTTTTTTTTTTTTACGAACGAGGCAGTTTATTAACCCAGCATCGTTTGTTCTAATGCTTCTTGTTGGCAGCTGCCACCTGTCCAGCGATTCTGTCCAGATCTCTCTGTCCCTGAGGTGTTAGTTTGCGGCCCCCATCTTGGTCCTTTTCCACCATTTTCAGCCCCTCCAGGGCCTGGAGGACCCGCCGGGCCACGCTCTTGGAGCCTCTGCTGAAGTGGCTGGGCATGACACCATTCCTCTGACGCCATTCCCTCATGACACCATTCCTCTGACGAATTTAAAAAAAAAAAAAAAAAGAATGGTACTAATGAACCTAGTTGCAGGGCAGGAATAAAGTGGGAAACATAGAGAATGGACTTGATGACATGGGGTGGGTGGGCGAAGCTGGGGCGACATGAGAGTAGCATTGACATATATACACTACGGAATGTAAAATAGTTGGCTGGTGGGAAGCAGCAGCGTAGCACAGGGAGATCAGCTCAGTGCTTTGCGATGACCTAGAGGGGTGGGATGAGGAGGATGGGAGTGAGGCTCAAGAGAGAGGGGATATGAGGTCATGTGTATGCATATGGCTGATTTGCTTTGTTGTGCAAAAGGAACCAACATGGTATTGTGAAGCAATTATACTCCAATAAAGATCTATTTTAAAAAAAAAACTGTAGGGCTTCCCTGGTGGCACAGTGGTTGAGAGTCTGCCTGCTGATGCAGGGGACACGGGTTCGTCCCCCGGTCCGGGAGGATCCCACGTGCCGCGGAGCGGCTGGGCCCGTGAGTCATGGCCGCTGAGCCTGCGCGTCCGGAGCCTGTGCTCCGCAACGGGAGAGGCCACAAAAGTGAGAGGCCCGTGTATGGCCAAAAAAAAAAAAAAAAAAACCCAACTGTAATGCATATATACACTTGATCTTAGCCAAAAGGCCGAGAAGCGATTGTAATGTATATATAAAAAAAAAAACAACGAAACACTGTTTTTCACCTGTCAGAGTAGAAAATAATCTAAATGTGTGATGACAGAATTTGTTCTCTCGGAATGAGTCAACAGTCAGTCTCGAAGATTCTTGGTGGGAGTGTACATTAATTTCATTGCTACAAGGGAAAATTCAGCATTCTTAAGATTAGAAATGTGTATGTCTTTCCACCTACAGATTTCTCTGATAGAAATATATACTTCTGATATACTTGCATGCCTGAGAACTTAAAAGGTTTTTCATTACAGTAAAGTTTCTAAACACAAAGGATTGGAAACTATTCAAATTTCATTAAATGGGGACAGGGAAGATGTATTATGGGACACCAGTATATTCACTTGTAATAATATTAACTAGATAAAAAAATGAGGAATATCTTTTCATAGTGATAAAGGGCTCTAAAATATATTATTATTATTAAGTAAATAATAAAAATTTATTATTATTATTAAGTGGAGAAAAGTCAAATGCCAAAATAATAATGAATGCAATAGCTCATCATTTGTGTAAAAGTAAGGAGAAAATATCTATATTGGCTTATATACATATACAAGTTTTCTGGAAGTACCAAAAGAAAAAACCAAACACCTAATAATAATAATTCCCTGCTGTGGGGTAATGGGAAATGGAGGGAGATGTCATCTCATCATGGTTTTTGATGTTCACACCATATAAATTACCCACCCCCAAATTAAAATATTAATTTTCAAAAACACGTTTAAAGTCTTGGGAAATAAATTAACATTGGAGAATAAGGAGCTAGAATTTTTTAGTTTTTTATATGTAACCATTCTGATGTTTTTACATTTTTGGCAATATGTATGGAAAAATAAATGTGCATTTATAATTAAAAGGAACAAACACAGAAGAAAAACATCAAATATTTTGTAAATAAAAATTTTTATTTGGTATCTCATTAAAGAGAAAGATTATTACTCCTTTGAATTAAAACACAGGTTTGCTTTGTAAGGTGTAGGGTTTTGTGACTGGTAAGAACACCTTATGGAGAAATATTTTAAATGTTTTGTTTTGTACATAGAATGACTCAGAAACAACAACAGAAACAGAACTCATAGACAAATAACAGAAATAAGGAGATAGAAATGGCAAGACAATAGCCATTTCTGAGAAGAAATAAATAAGGTGATAGTTCTAGCTTGTTTGGACTTGCCCTTTGCCTATATTTAGGCCTTGACATAGGTGAAATCTGTAGATCTGGTTGAGAAAGTTGTCACTGGAGGAATGTGATGCACTTTTGACAGATAAGCAGGGTCACAGGGCCTTTAGGGAAGAGGTACACAAGGTAGCAGGAGTTGAATTATCTTACGGAATCATCCATCTCATGAGATGGGAAAACGGCGTGTGGCTGGGAGGCCTGGACACCAGAAGCCCTGTGCGTGCATTGCTGTCTCTGCATGTGGGTCATTCAAATTTTTCAAGAAGATGGAAAGCTGTTGTTGCCATAGCAGAATAAAAGCAGAATTCCTGAGGGTCGGTTTTCATGTTTTATTAGGAAATTTAGGCAGGAGCTATGTGATGACTGGAAACAATAGTAATAGGACTAGAGCAGGTAAGAGTAATAGACATAGTGTGCACACAGAGAGGTAGAAGTACCAAGTTGGAAGGCTGCAAAACACCCATCAGATAGAACACTCAGAACTGTGATCCCTTTGGCTGGGTTTACAGCTCTGTAATGGCCATTTCTTGTTTGTTTGGAATTTTTTTCAAACCATTTCTTGTTTGTTTGGAATGTTTTTCAGATAAAAAGGTTTAAGACCATCATTTTGAAAGAGAGGAGCACAGAGTTCAAAAACCAGAGATATTGTCCAAAAGAGTAAGTCCCAGGAGATCCAGGTGACAGCAAGGGGGAAGAGGAAGGGAAGTCTCCTTAACTGCAGAGAACAGCTTCCAGCATCTCTTACCCCAGAAGCAGGGCCGGGCCAGGCCACTTAGAAGCAGCATTGCTTCCAGCAGCAGCTCTTCTGCTGGCAACAGCCCTTCCCAAACCCGCAGCCATACGAGTTGCAGCTACAGGTGTGGCGATGGTGGCAGCAGACCACAGGGACGCTGCAGGGAGAAGAAAAGAAAGAAAAATGGCGGTAGAAAGAATGAGTGGACGTGTATCTTACCTTCTCCCTGGAGTACCCTGTTCACCTTGAGAGAGTAATGCTAAGTGTCCCCTGGCACTGAGGAAGTACGAGGAGGAGAGCTGGTTGTGCCAGCTGCTGAGGTTGCCAGGGGTTCTGAGGTTGGGCAGGAGTAAAATGATCCTGGAAGTAAGGACTTGAGGGCAAACATCCAGGATTATGATCAAATGGGAGATACAGCCCATCTTCCAGGCTTTCAGCAGCACCAGAGAGAGCCCACTTGGGGCTGTGTCATCAAGGAAGGACCACTGGGTCTTGACTGAGGCCAGAGAACAGGTTTTAGTCATATGTAGGCCACTTATCTTTATTCCATCATCATAACCACAGACTATATCTAAATCTCCCTATCGTCCTATAAATGTACACCATGGGTTGGTAGGTTGACTTAGGCGAGGAAATGTGTATTACTCAGAGCAAATCATTACCACCTCTAGACACACAATTGAAAGTACCACCTCTAGACACACAATTGAAAGTACATATCCTTCTGACAATAATATGGCAATGTCATTCATCCTGTCATCCATATCTGATGCGTTGACTTGCAAACACAAAGATGATCATGGATGGACAAAATAGAATTAAAGAAATTATAAAAATAACTTGTGCAATTGAAATCTTATTTTGTATCTGAACCAAGTTTCCCTTTGAATTTTGAATTCTATGAGAGTCATAATCTCTCTGGTTTCTCCCACTACAGTCTTAAAATGTAAGCCTTAAAAAAATGTAAGCCTTAATTCAGATTACAGGGGAATCTGAAGAAAAAGTGCTAGATGTTTGATCAGTTTCCAAAAATGGGTAAGAGTCTGTCCATGCCCTCAAGATATTGAATGAAGAAGAAAATATATTTATTTACAGAGAGGTACTGTAAGGTTACTTGTCTGTCACACAGAGTCTTTTATCTTTCTTAGTGATAAATGAATGAGTGGTATTTCTTATAATCAATGATATCTTGGGTTCAATGACATATAGAAATATAAAAAGGTTAATATATGTATAAAGAAATAAAAGAAGCCAATATAAATATGACAAAGGAACACAAGGTTATCAACGATTACTAAATACATTTACAAAAGAAGCAAATTTCTAGAATGTCTAGAAATGAAAAATAACTGACTTTTAAAACCAAACAGAAAGGTTAAACAGATCATTAGACACAGCTGAAGAGACAACCAGAGACAGAAAACACAGCTTAATAAATTACAATTCAGTACAGAGAGGCATAAAGATTAAAACTATGAAGGTGAAAAGACTTAGATGAAAGAGTGAAGATTTATCACAGTGGTCCCCAAGCAGAGATACTTAGTTTTAGGGGTATTTGGGTATGTCTGAGGCACTTTCATCACAATAATAACATTTAGTGTCTGGGAACCAAGAATGTAAAATGTCCTATAATGCAAGGAACAGTCTCACACAATAAAGAATCTCCTATCCAAATTTACAATAGTACTTTTGTTGAGAAACATTAGTTTAATAAATATCTAACTGAAGTTGGAGAAGACTTAATATTCAAAGGTAGTGGCTGGTCATTTTCCAAAGTGATGTAAGATACCAATCCTCAAATTCAAGTATCTCAACAAATACCAAGTTGGAGAAAATCAAAGAAATCCACACTTTCACATAGTGAAACTGAAGAACACACAAAAATAAAATCTAAACATAGCCAGTTAAAAAAAGAAAAAAGGGAAAATTACCTACAAAGAAATGATTACTAAATCAAAGGCAGATATCTCAACACAATGAAAGTCAGGAGACAGTAGAAGATAAAAGTCAACCAAGAATTGTATCCAAAAGAAACTCCCTTTCAAGTGTTTTTACCACAAGGAAGAAGGATGGTCCCTCTACTGGACAGAATTCATTTGCACGTTCACAGATGAGAATTATTTCCTGTTGCTTTTAGTTATCTACAATATACAGCTCTGTGAAATAGCCCACGTGGCAGTGAAAGGCTAGAATCAGGTAACTGGAAGGCATGTGCTCTAGAGCAGCGGTCCCCAACCTTTCTGGCACCAGGGACCGGTTTTGTGGAAGACAATTTTTCCACGGAGCATGGAGGTGGGGGGATGGTTCGGGCAGTAACGTGAGCGACGGGGAGCGATGGGGAGCGGCAGATGAAGCTGCCCTCTCTCGCTCGTCTGCCGCTCACCTCCTGCTGTGCAGCCTGGTTCCTAACAGGCCATGGACCGGTACCAGTCTGCGGCCCAGGGGTTGGGGACCCCTGCGCTAGAGTCTAGATAATGTCTAGTTCTCCACGATGCACAAATTCTTCCCTATATGTCAAAATACCTCATATTCAACTGAAAAGTAAAAAAGCCAGATAAAAGCAACAACATTCTAACCCCACCATTCCATGTCCCTTTGCTTTGCAGAGGCTGGAAAAACATCACGGGGAGACGGGGAGGTGGGGGGAGTATTCTGGTGGCAGTGACTCTGGGTGGGAAGCTACCCTGGAAATCTTTTCTAAATCTGAGGTTCTAGGAGACTTTAGGCCACTGAACACAAAATTCTAAAGAAATTCTGAATTAGGTTTCTTTGATCATATCAGTCTGGGGGAAATCTTGGTTTATGCTTTTTTCCCCAGCTACCCGTATTTCCAGAAAGAACTGGACCCAAGAATCAAGTTTTTGTGTGACTTTACAAAAGAAGTTGACTTCAGCCGGGTGTGTGCATCAGTGCCCAGACTATGCCCTTACAGTTTAGCAGTGAAGGGGGGGTGGCTATGGGGGTCTCAGAAGCTGGGCGATCACAGATACTGGGAGCAGGGGAAGCAGAAATAAGAACTCATCCAGAAAGGAATCAAAACAGGCAGAATTGAGAAAAAGTAACTCCATTCATTTGCCAACCTCCTGTCTTCCTTGACGACAGAAGAGGGGATCGGGTGATTTGATACGGTATTCTGATGGGGCTTCAGGGGGATTTGTTTTATTTGTGCAGTCAACCTGACCAGCTTCCCATCCCTGTGCACTGAATGACTCGGGGAAAGATACTTAACATTTTTGTAACTCAGTTTTCTCACCTACAAAATGGGGACAAGAATGATCTTACATCATAAGATTGCTGTGAGGATTAAATGGGTTAAGACATACATGTCATGTACCCAAGAGGGCCCAGGACACAGTAAGCCCTGGGTAAGTCTTGGCTAATATTGCTGTTAATGATTATTTCTCTAAATGTGAGATGTTCAGGCATACACGTTTTCTCGAGCTACCCAAGTTTTGACTCAGAGACCACATTGTTAGCATTTTTCTAGGACAGTCAAAGTTTCAGATATCTCACTGTGCTGAGTAATTACGTAGCAGAGCAGTAGTTTGGGTTTTGGAAACTATTGTCACTGCACTAATGGGAAAATTAGAGGTCTTGAAAGGAGACGGTCTGCTTGAGGTTGAAAATACTGAATTGCTCTGGAGAAGAACCCATCGAAAGTAAGACCTTTTATGTACTAGTACTAAATGGAGTGCTTGATATGAATCAGTCATTGTTCTAGGTCCTGCCTTAATCAGAACCACCTTCCATTTTCCTATTTTCAGCAGAGAAATAGAAATCAAACAGGTCTCTTCTCTTCCCTTAGCATTCTCTTCTGCTTCGACTGGACCAGATTAGATCTGGGCCCAGATTAGGGCATCATACGATGGCCTCATCCACATGGTGGGGGATTCTCCTTGCTTTAACACTAGGAGTAAATTAGAAATTATTTATTTTATTTGAATGTATATGAAATTCAACTAAATCCTTAAATTTCCATTTTTAGGTATTCAATTTTTGTAGTCCCTACCCCCAGCCCCCAATCTATAACTTTATTGTCAGAGTTTATTCTGGGGACAGTATAAGGAAATAGTGGGTTATGAAGAAGCTGTAAAACATTGTTGCCAAAATAAGGTGGGCATTTGGGGCAATGAAAATCAATCATTTACAAATTTCTTATCCCCAGCTTAGCTCCTCTAGACCTTTGGAATTAAAAAGGAGGGGAGGAGTGAAAAAATATTGGGGCATTTGGCTGTGTCCACTCCACAGGTACTGCGTTTGAGTCTCTCTCCCAGGATGACCCAGAAAGATAAGGGATGAATCTTGAAGAGCAAGGGGAGGCTAAAATTCCCCAAAGCAAATTCTTAAGTGTATTTGGCAGAATGTACATCCCACATCCTGCTCCCTTCTACTTTGCACAAATTGGAATCTTGGCAACACTGTTGTTCCTTTTTGTTTTCTTCATGAATGTCATTTCTCCTTCAGATCTTTCAAAATGATTACAGTCGATCCTTCATATCTGAGGGTTTCACATCTGCAGATTCAACCAACCTCAGAGCGAAAATATTCGAAAAAAATTCCAAAAAGAAAAAAAAAAAAGATCCCACATGCCATGTGGTGAGGCCAAAAAAGAAAATTCCAAAAAGTTCCAAAAAGCAAAACCTGAATTTGCCACTCCTTGGTCACTATTTATATAGCATTTACATTGTATTAGATATATAAGTACTCTAGAGATGATTTAAAGCATACAGGAGGATGTTTGTAGGTTCTATGCAAAAGTTATGCCATTTTATATAGGGATTTGAGTATCTGTGGATTTTGGTATCCAAGGGGGTCCTGGAATCAATTCCCTACAGATACCGAGGCATGGCTGTATAAAGACAGCTGACCAAAGCTAAGAATGTCTGTGGGCTTCAGGGCCATTATGTAAAATCCATAGTGCTGACAGGCAAACATCTAGCCCTGTGAGCTATACCCATGTTCAGACAGAGGAATGCTGGCCTGGAGCCAATGCAAATGTCTTAAAGGAGGTGATTCAGAAACAGGTTGTGGGCTTCCCTGGTGGCGCAGTGGTTGGGAGTCCGCCTGCCGATGTAGGGGGCTCTAGCAGAGCGGCTAGGCCCGTGAGTCATGGCCGCTGAGCCTGCGGGTCCCGAGCCTGTTGCTCCGCAACGGGAGAGCCCACAGCAGGGGGAGGCCCGCAAAAAGAACAGGTTGTAAGTGTTATAACAGGAAAAATGAGGCAGCACACTAATAATTGCAGTAAAAAGAGGTAGATGTCTAAATTTTAATCCTAAAAGACCAAAATGCTTTTGCGATCCTGGAAGGAAGACTTTGTCAAAGAAAATGGTAGAGGAAAAAACACAACCAACTTTGGAGATAGGAATTAATAAAATGTCATAGAGAAAAAGGACAAGTGTGCGGACTTCTAAAAGTTCAACCCAATTAAACGTTCCAGGAAGAGAACTGTGACTTTAGAAAAGCCCTATGGCATAAGATTAACATATGAAGCTAGTGAAATAGTAAGAATGGGACTGTTCTTCTGGTCACTAACAAAATTAGGTGCTGAGAAAATCCAAAACCTTAACTTCTTCAAGAAGTTGTTGATACAATAGTAGTAATTTATTTTTAATACAAGGAAAAATCAATTCTCTCCAACGCAACTGCAGACATTTCATTAACCTGTGGTAATGGAACTCTGACGTATTGCTCAATAAAGATTTGTGGCAAGTGTTATCCCATCTGCCCTATAGATGGGAACTTTGAGATTGTGACTGACTGCGGCTGGCCTTTGTGTTCCAATGGAGCAGAGTACAGAACTCCACATTCACCTTGTTAATTCTGCTTTTTGGGGTTTTTTTTGGCTAACACTCTCCCTTTGTGGAAAGCCTTCTTTTCCAAGACCACAAAGGTAAGCCCAGACAAGCTTGACTTAATCTGCTGGAAGAGGCAGCTGATGAAAGACATCTTTCTAGTTTTTGCTTCAGACATTGGTTTCACCAAATATCAAACCACTCTTGCTTGATCTTAATATGGTAAAATATAGTACGGAAAAATTATTCATTCCAGAGGGAAGAAAAACTGTTACATCAGAGCAGAGAGGGCAATAGCAAAATAGCAATTTGTATGAATTCTTATTTCTACTCCTCATTGGGTTTGTTAGGGAGAAGGTCTTTACATGAGTCAAATAATGATTTAAATGTCATTGATCTTGTAATTTGCCATAGGTTGGAGAGGGTCTGCAACATATACTCAAAATTATATACCATTAGGTGCAATAATAAAGGCAAAACATTTTCGAAGCAACCTCCAAAACTCTGTTAGTAGCACCAGCAGCAGACTGGAACAGGGGTCCTGGGGGAAGGGAAGAGGCCTGCATCCCCAGGCCTCACAGACACAGGCGGCTCTCAGTGTAAATGCTCCTTCCCTTTCATCTGAACTTTAGGAACCTTTCCAGATGGTAATTAAGTGTCTTATCACTAAAAGCCTGACAACTGGTAGATGTCACCAGCAGTATAGTCAAGTATCACTTTGGTATAAAGAACAGCTTTGGGGGATGGGGTGCTTAAACTAGTCAAAGATCTTCTATAAATGTCTACTGAAATAATCTCAAGAACACATGCTCCACTTCTTATCAGTTGGGGTGATACATGAACATTTATGATACTCATCATTTTAGATGACAATCTTAAATTGGGAACTCATCCCAGGTTCAATCTCTAGGAGTAGACAGCAAGGACAGAGGAAGTAAACAAGCTGTGTATCAGCCTGAAAGGAATAAGAGAAAGAAACTGAGATCATCATGTCCTAACCCAGTAGGAAAAAAAAAAGAGTTCAGGCTTTACATACTTACAGAACTGGATTCTAAAATTCTATGACCCTGGGCAAGCCACATTATCTGTCTCTGAATTTCTGTTTTCTCATCCACCGAATGGAGATAATAGCTACTTTGCAAATTTTTCAAAGGATTAGAGACAAGGCATGGAAAGCAAGTGGTATAAATAGCTGTCCAAGTAGGAATTAAGTAAAAAAATAAAAAACGGCAATTACCAGCAGTGTTACTTTTATGAGCTTGTTGATAGTATTCGTTAGGAAGAATTGATTTGGGGTTTTTTTTGGGTTTGGGGTTTTGTTTTTTTTGCCACACCTCACGGCTTGCAGGATCTTAGTTCCTCAACTAGGGATTGAACCCGGGCCTACAGCAGCAAAAGCACCAAGTCCTAACCACTGGACCGCCAGGGAATTCCCAGAATTGATTTGGTTTTGATGGACAATTGCGTACTTGGAAGACAAGCTGAACGCTCAGAATCTCAAGAAATGTGGACGGACAGGGACAAGCAGACTGAATTAGGTTGCTAGAAGCCATATTTATAGGCGGTTATTAAAATTAAAGAGGGACTTCCAGGAGGTGTGTAGGTGGTAGAAGTCTTTTGTGGGCTGAAGAGTGTCAGATATTTATGTGCATGTCTCCTTTAGCCAGTGTAGCCCTGCCATACCACTGTGTGCAGCACTAAACCAGGACAGCATGCAGACCTGACACTCAGGTGATCCCTTTCTGGGAAAGCGATCTGGGCAGGGGCGCCAGAGTGGTCCTCAGCTTAGGGGTGGAGCACATCAGAAACAGAAGAATCACAGAGTAGAAGCTGAAACTTGCACATAGGAGATTCTAGTGCCTCCTCTTGGAAGGGCACTCCAGGATCTCCATGAGATATGGGGAAAATGCAAAGTACAATGTTGTAATAAACTCACCTCCTACCTTTGTGAATGGCCATCCTCGTACATACCTCAGGGGGTTGTCTTTGGGAGACCTGGGCCAATGGAGAGGATGAAATGCAGTGTCCCTTGGTCTGCTGCTACAAACTGTGACCACTCCATCAGTAAAACTACTGCTTTGTAAACAGTGCAGATTCTTGGACTTCAAACTTTATCTATTCAATCAGAAGCTATAGAGATAAGACCAGGACCTTTATATTTTTACCAAGTTCCCCAAGTGAATACAATGCTAAAAGCTATTCATTACAGTCCTGGTAAATGGCCTGTGTGTGAGAGAATCAAAGGATAAGGCCGGCACATAAATGAATCAACTGGGACAGTCACCCAAACATTGGAATAAAGGTAGAATTGGAGGAGTGCCTACATCTGAGTGTTTGAGAGGCAGGATTCAGGCTCAGAAGCCTCCCAGCAGAACTCAGAGCTGGGGTTGAAGGTCAAAGCCAATAAAATTGCTTCTTACCAAGGAATCCTCTGATGACTGCTGAAAACCTCAGCTCTTCTCTGCAGTCCTGGACTCTGGCCTCTCTGCCCATCCTCCCAAGATCAAAGGTCTGTTGGCTGGTCTGAGCAAATTGTCTTCCTGTCACTTCCCTCTGGCAGAAACACCTGCTCTAGGCACAGTGGACGTGGTCAAGGGTCCGGAGAAATATAGGCTAAGGGAGCCTCTGAACCTCCCCAGAGGTCAACAATGAGCCCTCCACCCCTCCCTAGGCCACTACTCATTGTTTTCATCCGCCAAGACCAGGGTCTGGACCACAGAACACCCACACACTCATGCAGGCAGGTAAACAGTTGCTAGTTATAAAATGGGAGGAAGAAAAAGGGGGAAGAAGGAAAAAGATTGAACGAAAACTATATTGAGCAGTAAATTTATGCCAGATACTGTGTTGGGTTCCTTACATGCACAGATCTCAGTTAATCTTCACCAGCCTTACTCTGAAGCCTATATTACGATCCCTACTTTAAAAAATGAGGCAATTGGGGCTCAGTAGATTTTCCATTCATTTAAAAAATATTTATTAAGCCCATACTCTACCAGACCATTTCCTAGGCACTGCGAATAAACTTGCAAATAAAATAACACACTTAATCCCTGATGTCATGGAGCTTACAGCCTAAGGGAGAACTCAGCTATTAATCCAATAGACACAATAACGAATGTAAAACCACCAAGAAATGGGCTCTGTAAAAACCCCAGAATTGGGGGTTTTCCACACAGGTGTGATCAAAACATTTACAGGCAAGGGAATTTAGGGCATTGGTGTGATTATTATAGAAATAATAAGGAAAAGAAAGAAAGGAGAAGCCTGGGAGATTGGAAGGAGAATAGAGGTATCTTGATGAAGAATGGTGCAATGGAACTAGTTGATCGAGTAATAAGCCAGAAGAGATGAGTGTAGTCAGAGCCAGATGACCGAATTCTCTAATTCACGGGGAATAGGGTGTGGCCATGAGAATGGACAGCTAAAGTAGAATGAAGAAAGAGGTCTTTGCAAATAAGAAGTTCAGGGAACTGGAAAGTCAAGATACATTTTCATGTGGCTGTTGAAGAACTGCAAGATAATAGCAGGACTTGGGATGAAGAGTTGATGCCAAAGAGGTTGATGACTAAGGAAAAGTGGTCAGGAGGTCCACAGATACCAGCAACTAGGAGAAAGTGGTCAAGTTAAATGAGTTACCAGAAAATGAGCTTGTTGATATTTTCTTAAGGAGGTTGGGAATAACTGGAGCAGCAATGAGTAGCAAGGAGAACATCAGTTACCACATGTTAAAAGCCCAAAAGCACAGCTAGAAAAGGGTGAAGCTGGTATTTGAACTCAAGAACCTGAATAACCCTGGCAACATTATTGGTCTCCTTATCAATTGGGCAAAATAACTTCCATCTCCCTTCTTCCTCAAGATCATCTTCCTCTATTTCTGCCTGATCCTGGCACCTTTTCCTATTCAACCTCTCCTCTCTTCAAGGAGGCTCTGGTCCTCTCCCATCCCCATCAAAGTGGGAGATTATGTTTTTTCTATTAGGTTTCTTTCTGATTTTCTCAAGCCAAATTCAGAGGGCAAGAATGCTAGAATCGACAAAAAGATGAGAAAAGACAGAATTTCAGCATCTCCAGGACAGCAGAAATAGTCGTAGGTCCATGAGAGACATGGAGAATAAAAGACAAGAAGTTCAGCTCAAAATTCAACCTTGGACTTGGGCAAACAACTCATGATCAGAATAGATAGAAATATAATGGACAAAAGAAGAGACTGGGCTTCCAGAAGCACAGAAAAGAGATGATCCCAGTAAGGCTCATCAATGACTCATCAGTTACTTACACAAGAAAGACCTGGAAAACCCCAGAAGCATCCTGCATAGAAGAGCAACTCCCTACTTTCTGTGAAGTAGAGGTAGGTGGAAAGCAGTCACCTCCACTTAATCATTGGCAAGTTTTTTTCATTGTCATTGTTCTCTAGTGACATAATCCTGTTTCTGACTGTCATTGCCACCTACTCTAAGTAAGAGCTTTGTTGATATAAATTGGATCAGTATTTATTTTACCTCAAAGAAGAGGTCAGTTCATCTGATAGGTCCCCAAATAAGGCATCTTCATGTGGACCCAGCTTGTAAAAGGGTAGAGTGGGTGGTGAACAATACAGGGTGACCTGGAAGGTCCATCCCTCCCAAAGCTCTTCTGCTGAGAGCTGGAACCACCCTCATTCTTTTTTCAGGTGAGTATCATTTTTCACGGTGAACATTATCTCTAACCTCCTTTCAAAGCAAAATTACCAGAGGACTAATCGACTGTCACTAGCAAGTTAGTGTAAATGCATTTATAAAGGTAATTTCACCTCTCATGTAGACAGGATTGCTCCAGCTAATACCAGAAGCCAGGTATTTAACAGGTGAGTTCTTTGACACACCACATCTATTTTCAAGCTTTCTTTTATTTCGGAGACCACACACACACACACACACACACACACACACCTCCACTCCTCAATTCTATTACTCTATTACCTCATGGTCAGCAGGAGAAGTGTGGGAGGGGTCTTGTGATTCAAGGAGAAAAGATAAAGCCCTCTGAGACTCAGCATGGCGGGCAAGGTAGACCTTATCCCTGTAAGGCAGTTCACCTCAAAAACAACTTGGAAAGATCCTGTGCTTCCTTGTTTGTTGGCAACTCGGCATCATCACTACCACCACCACCTTCCGGGGGCCCCTCCCTCCTGCATCGGAGAAGCCTGGAAAGACATTTGCCTGGGTTCACTTCCCTGTAGGGCTGCAGGTCAGTCTGCCCATTCGAGGCACTCCTGTGACGTTCCGAGAGGGGAAGGTTTTTAAATGACCAGTGTTCTCCAAGGCAGTTATCTTTTCTTTTAAGAAAGCTGTACGCTTATTGAAAAATTTGGTGCAGATTTTCTTGAACACATTGTCTTTTAAGGCCACCCATTAAGTCACAATGAGTTCTTAATCCTTTGTCGTCTCTTTATTTTCTGTTTGTTAACTTCTGCTTTTAATTATTTCCAACTGTATACTTTCCTTATGTTCATCCTGCCATATATATATATATATATATATATATATATATATATATATATATATATTTTTTTTTTTTTTTTTCTGTACGCGGGCCTCTCACTGTTGTGGCCTCTCCCATTGCAGAGCACAGGCTCCAGACGCACAGGCTCAGCGGCCATGGCTCACGGGCCCAGCCGCTCCGTGGCATGTGGGATCTTCTCGGACCGGGGCACGAACCCATGTCCCCTGCATCGGCAGGCAGACTCTCAACCACTGCGCCACCAGGGAAGCCCCATCCTGCTATTTTTATTTTATTTTCATTGAAATAACACTGGTTATAACATTATTTTTAATCCCAGTCAAACCCAGTGTAGACTTCCTTCTCAGAAATGCCTTTACATAAATGTAAATACCCATTATCTTAAAAATATTTAAATTCAAACTTCCTGAAGCCTGTAAGAATATTCTCTAACATAACCAGAGGGTATAAAAATTAAATACCATTAAACTAAAAAGTGTTAGATATTATTGGACTTTTAACCCCAGAAATGCAAGTGGAAATTTTCTTATAAATTTAAAGAGTGTTCAGATTATCTGGATCCTGTTAGAACTATTTCATAAAGCACTCCAGTTTTTACCATTTTAACACATAATATTGAACTCCTATTGGTTCTGTTTCTCTGGAGAACCCTGACTGATACAATAATCAATCTTATATACTTGGATAGCATTAGTTAATTTATCCAAAAAAGGTTAATAAGCATCTACTTAGGAATATAGCAGACACCAAGATGGATAAAGTCCCTTCTGTTAAACAACAAGGATTTACTATAAAGCACAGGGAACTATATTCAACATCTTATAATAACCTATAATGGGAAAGAATCTGAAAAAGATTATACATATATGTATATAAACTGAGTCATTAGCTGTACACCTGAAATTAACACATATTATAAATCAACTATACTTCAATTTAAAAAATCCCTTCCATTACAGCACTTCTATTTTAGAAGGAATAAACAGATAAAAACGATTAAGCATATTAATATATAACAGGTGGTGACAAAGCAAAGCAAGAAAACAGAGGATGACATCAGAAGGGCCATATTGAACAGGGTGGTCTGAGAAGTTGTCTCTGATAAGGGGCATTTGAACACAGTCTGTACCAAGGGATGGGGCATGGCCTGCAGGTACCTGGAGGAAAGATATTCCAACAAGTGGAAATGAAGACCCAAGGGCCCGTAGGGAGTTGCATGTAACTGGGCTGGGCACTGTCACTGCACGCAGTCCTGTAGGTGTTTGATCCTGTGGAAAGTCCCTGCCCAGCAGTCATTTTATCTACTGGTCTCTGATTCCTTCTGGAAAAGATGAAGGATTAGGACCAGATCATTGATTCCTGTCCAAAATACCCACAGTCACCCTGCATTCTACAACCCCCTCGCAGTGGTTTCCAGTTGACAAATAAAGGCTCTGAGGAACATTCCAGTAAAGGAACCTGTATAACTTTATTTAACCCAATGTTTCCGAACTTACTTGGTCTCAAAACCCTATTTCCATTGTTAATTGAACTTGGGTTCATTGAAAGCACTTAAGAAACGCTAGCCTCAAAGAGCTAACCCATCTTTCAATTCTAAAGTTGTCTGAATTAGATATCATATGATATCACTTATATGTGGAATCTAAAAGAATCGTACAAATGAACTTATTTACAAAACAGAAATAGAGTCACAGATGTAGAAAACAAACTTACGGTTACCAAGGGGGAAAGGTGCCAGGGAGGGATAAACTGGGAGATTGGGATTGACATATATACACTACTATATATAAGATAGATAACTAATAAGGGCCTGCCTGCTGTATAGCACAGGGAACTCTACTCAATAATCTGTATGGGAATAGAAAACAAAAAAGAGTGGATATATGTATATGTATAACTGATTCACTTTGTCGTACAGCAGAAACACAACATTGTAAGTCAACTCTACTCCAATAAAAATTAATTTTAAAAAAATTCTTTAAAAATTAACAAAATAAAATAAAATTGTCTGAATAATGGGACATAAAATCACACACACTCCCCCCAGAGCCCCAGCTCTCCAGATAACAGGATCTATGACTTTACAAAGAAGGGACTGGAGAGAGTGCAGCTTTTAAAGTTATTTTTAGCAGCAGAACCTTTCTTACATATATATTCCAATGTGAAACATCAATAAACAAAACAGTTAAAATCAAAGATGCCTGGGCTGAAGCAGTAGTTTAGACTAGTTGGAAATCACTAGGCTCGATTTAGTGTGTGTACTGTGGTCACACTGCCCTCTAGTGTCTAATCTTCAAAGAAAGTAAAGCTGAAATTAGTACAGAAATCTCTTCTTTCAAACTTTCGACCTAAGAGTTGACCAAGATGACTGTCTGCTAAGCAGTGACTCTCAAAGTGAGGTCCCCAAGCAGCAACATCAGCATCACCTGGGAACTTGTTAGAAATGAAAATATTCAGTATGAACCCACATCTCCCTCCCCAAGACCCACTGTGTCAGTTAATGGGGGAGGGACCCAAAAATCAGCATTTAAACACGCCTCCCACATGAGGAGCAAAATCACAACTCAGCCTATCACTCGCAGGTGGAGAGCAATTTTTTACACCATGTTGCCTTTAATTAAGGAAAAATGAACTTGGGAGCAGCCTGTTGAAAACCCAAAAGCTCATAAACAGAAGAGTTTCCATACTTAGCATTTGTTCAGCAGTTTTCACTTTATGCCATAGGAGTTGCATCTATTCCAACAAATCACTGGACCCAATTTTTTTGTAGCACTGCCATGAATGACAAAAGAACATTCTAGAATGGATCTGATCGACTTTACTTTGAAAGAAAATGTCTGTGGTGATAACACCCATTGTAAAAAACAGGGTTTGCATTGTGAAGTAGTGGTGAAAACCCTATAAAGCTGACCTATGATAAGATGAATAAAGGATGGTATTTCCAGCATAAGTTTTTTTTTCTGGCCAGCCATCGTGAATTTATGTTCTGTTCATGACCAGGGAAACCAGATAAAGGTGCATGAATGGATTAAAGCAATTTCATTACAACGACAAGAAAAAAAGTCTTTCTTCCTTCTTCCTTCCCCCAGAGGCTGCCTGAATACTTAGGATGGATGAGGGCTCCGTCGGCTGAAAGCACGAATTCACTAAATGCTCTGGGAGCACCAGCCTCCCATACAAGAGGCACCTTCATTGCCACCATGGCACACTTGTTTCCAAGACTTGATTATCTGACAAAGACAACAGAGCCAGTAAAAAGCAGAGCAATGGTTATACACATTAGTCTCACAAGCAGAAAATCAGTATAAGATAACTTTACAAGTGGAGTAATGACTAAGCTATAAGTAAATTTATAATTTTTTTATATGAAAATTATGGTTTGCTTAAAAAGGCAGGTCACCTAAAAGGGCGAGGCAGTATCATTTCTGCAATTCATATAACATCAAATTTTAAAAACTAACATTTCAGTCTTTTATGAGAATACTTAAGTTTTCAAACAACCACCATATGGGGTGTAACTGATGTTCATTACTTAGCTAAAGATATTTATCCATAGCTGTAAAAACAAACTGGGAAATTTTACTCCACATATAAATAAAGACTCATTTGTTCTATTTATATTTAACAATAATGAAAGTATGTACACATGGAAATCCAGGATAGAGTATATTTAGTGAAAATATTTTAATGTGAAATACATCTTACATTTTGCCCAAATTATCAAAAATTCAAGAAGCCAAACTATACCTTCCACACTGCTTGGAAATCTCCAAGCAAAATACCCAAGTTCATTGCTTACAAGTTCTATTATACTTTCAACAATAGAACAGAATTCAAACATGTTCTCTGCCATTTTATAACAAAGATCACCTTTCCTCCAGCGTCCAATAACACGGTCCTCCTTTCCATCTATGACCTCTACAGAAGCACCTTTACCATCCATATTTCTAACTATTCTGTTCATGATGATATATGTATTCTCTAAGACAGTAGACCCTTTCTCTATAGCCCCTCTCTTCTTCCAAGCCCTCATCAAGAAATGTCTTTAATGTCCATATTTCTACCAACAATCTCTTTAAGGTATTCTAATGTTCATTAATTTAGACTATAAGGAGAAGAATCTAAATGAACTAGTAAAACATCTGAATGGAGAAATATGTGTGTGGACAACATGTATTTTGAGCAGAACCTAACTAAACTGACCAAGTGTTCTTGTAGTGAAAGATCATAAAGATTTGATTAAAGGGCAGATAAATATGACTTATGATTTTTTTATGTAAGTTGGTATTTATAAGGGGTTTTCAGACAAGGTAATTCCTTCAAGAAATAGTTTTTCTTGCAACCTTATTAAACTGTAACTTTACTTTTTCAATCTCTCCTTATTGTCTTAAAATAACCTTGACCTTAATTATACACTTTGTACTAATGATCCACAGTCCAAATTAGCTGGCTCTGATATGAGCTTTTACTTTATCAGCAATTCTTTGGCCCTTGTGATTTCCTGGGTCACGGAGACTAGATCAGATTCTCAAAGAAAGGCAAGGGAAAGACACTGGTATTTATTGTGTTAGGCACTGCTCTGAGCCCTCTCCTATTGAGCTCATTGACTCCTCACAAATGATAAAGTAGATAATTTTTATCTACTTTTTTATTTACCATTTTAAAGTAGATAATTTTTATCTTCTTTTAATCAGTGGGACTCAGAAAGACTAAGGGATTTGAGTAAGTTCAGCCAACTATGATTAAGTACAACAGAAAAAAAAATATATATATATGTGGTCTGATGGCCCACATCACATAATAGCTGGGATATTTATTTAATTCCCACCCATTCATGGAGTGAGCCAGCTACACAAACAGCCAGGGCCTCCGGGTTCCCAGACTCCAGAGCTGAAATGACGCTAGGATAGATCA